ATATGCAGACACATACAGTAGTTACAACACAGATATAACACAGTGATCAAAATATATTATTTATTTAGATAAACACATACAGTGCAGCAACAAAACAGACATACACAGTAATGAGGGTAGGGAATACCCCCCCCCCCCCTTAATCACCAATCATGAAGAATTAAAACAGGTCAATCACCAATCACGAAGATAAATTCAGGTTATTCACCAATCACGAGGAATTGAAAACTATCACCATTCATCAAGATAGAAAATTGCCATTCTTTCAGGAATGCAAAGAATTTATAACATTTCCAGAATAATTAATTTTTGGGTTCCCATGCCTAGATCAATCCATCTGGATTGGTCTAACCTTAAACCCCCAGGGAGTTATACTACATTGCTATCATCTTAATCAGCTTAATTGTCTGTCACGCCTATCGAATCAGGTAGGGGGGTAAAGACAAGTACCGCCTTACAGCTTTACTAAGCATGAGACATTAAAGCTTGTTAAATTGATAGCAATTTAGTCAGACTCCCCAGGGAGATAGATCAATCCAAATATCTGTGGGAATGGTCCCTAAGTGACCCCTTTACAAATTGATAATTTCCCAGGAACTATATAAAGTGGTGAGGGTCAAAACTGGATTGAAGAGAACAACAAAGTATAGCAATATCATTTTTGCACTGACCTGTGGTGAGGCTGCAATGCTGTAGATCTTGATGTGATGACGAGTTTAGCTGTCCTCAGACTGATGATATTCAAGGAGATACACCTTCTTGCTGATGATGATGAGTTTATAAAATAGATGTCTGCAGTGTGATGATAATCCAGGGGACATACCTTCATCTGCTTAAATCAGAGAACATCGTCAATAACGAATATATGCAGACATACAGTAGTTGCAACACAGACATATCACAGCGGTAAAAATAAATAAATAAATAAACATAAAGAGACAAAACAAGAACATATAGTGATCGAAATATATACAGACACTAACTGTGTCACAACAGGCAGTGCACAGGCATCAGAATGTATGCAGGAAATTTTGTCAGAATTTTTTCTCAGCTCCAACCCATCCCAACCCCTACGAGTTCATATCACCCTTGTCAATTTGAAGATATATATAAAACTCAGTGGATTCTAAGTGCTTTTACAAAATTATAGTTACACAGCTACTTAATATAGTGGTGATGGTCAAAAAGGGATTGATGAGAACACCAGTATAACAATATTATTGTTGCACTGACCTGTGCTGAGACTACGACTTTGTAGAGTAGGCTTGTTGACTACATTCTGACGATATGTGGAGAATCACACTCTTTAGTATCAAACCCAAGCCATGTCTTCATGAACTTCCTATTCAATGGCTTCTTAATCAGAATAGGAAACAAGCCTACTCTGCCTCTTTAGACTTTACATAACGTATTATAAGGAGATGCAGACTACAGTAAAAAGTTATTACGTGAAGTTACCGAAATTGCCTGTGAATTATTAGATGTCTCTGACAATACACTGTCAAGACAGACAGTACACAGGCATCAGAAAGTTTAAATGAAATTTTGTTTATATAGCGATTTGAAAGTCTGTGAAATATTTTCGCTCAGCACACCTCCACCTCCCACCCATCAGTTCACATTAATCCTTATCACTTTAAACATATATATAAAACTGGGTGGGTTCTAAGTGACCCTTTTCTCTCTCCTATCCCCACTTTCAAAGAACCCATACTTTGAATGTTAGGTTCACATTTTATTAGTTCGCATGGTTCTTTAAAATAAGACTAATGAGGCTCCAAATTTTGTTCATAAGCATAAGAATAATATATTACCATGTTGACAAATCATTCACCAAATTTCAATTTCTTTGTCAATCAATGTTTTTTGCAAAAGATTTTGATTTTACTTCATGAAAAATCCATAAAATATGACCTCTTGTGACACTTGGCCCATTATCAATAAACCTTGGATTATTGTCAAGCACTCATGCCTCATGAAAATTATTGTCCCATCCCTTACCTGCATAATGTATTGATGTATCTTTAATCATATTGATATGGCAAGCATTTTCTCTCCCCTACCCTCACTTTCAGAGAGGGTACCTTTGGATCGTAAGGTTCACATTCTTTTACATAGTTTTCTAAATTAAGACAGCTGAGGCTCTAAGTGTTATCAATTAGCATTAAACTACACCATTTTTACAAATCATTCACCAATTCTTACTCAAACAATGATTTTTAAAACAATTTGGTTTTAATTTATGAAAAATCCACCAAAATCACCTCCTGTGACCTTTGACCCATTATATTATCAATGACCCTTGACCATGCATTCATGACTTTTGAAATAAATTGTCACATCCCTTGCCTCCGGATCCATAATGATATACAATGTACTGATATTTGTGTTAATTACCATTATATAGATATTATTTAGTAAGCTTTTTTTCTCCCCTACACCCATCCTTGGTACTGTAAGAGTGAGGTTATATAAGGAATAATAACACACAAAAAGCTACAAGTATAAGAAGGCTATCACACTTATTTGGGCACTCAGGAGATATATAGGCCTTACCAAAAATCACTATTATTCTTCCCTTTTTTGGTACCAATACATGCTTATAAGTGCACACAATACTGAGGGATGTTTTATAGATACATATACAGATGTGGGTGCTTTCCTTGAAAAACCAAGTTTGAGTAATCCAAAACTAGAGAGAATAATCTAAAAATATAATACCCAAAGCAAAAGACTTAAAACAATAACCTTTATCAAACCAGCCAATGATCGAGTTAATACCTACTCATCATGCCCAAGCTAGCATAAACTTGCGACCTATAAGGAAATGTTATATTTAGTTAGAATTTAACTGTTAATTCCAATTTAATTATTTATACCAGGAAAGTGACATACAACTATTTCACTATTGGTCCATAGTAGCATTTAGTGTTTCTAAGAACTACTCACGTTAGGGGCAAACTATAGTGCTGTGATCTAAGTATCAAAGTTTGAGACAGTTGACAAAATATTGAAGTGAGAATGGCTTTAAAACACATGCCTCAGTTATCTTTGCTTCAAAACATATGTATCAGAACATTATCCGTAATGTTGGTGTAATTTGTAAAGGATTGCAAAATACTATGAACTGGTATTCTTTCTGGTTTATGAAAGGCAATATGTGACTAATAAATTGAAAGGCTAGACTAAGTTAAACCAAAATAAAAAAAAAGAAAATGTGTGAAGGTGTACAGTTGCCAAAATGATGAGAAAGTTGCACGATAAAAACCTTGCCAGCTGTCATCCATCAACAAGAAGTTTGCTTATTAATTTAACTCTCATCTGATCATTCGGGATTCTACGAGATATGCGTGCGCCTGCGTGGTACTCAATTCTGCGTTCGCTTGTCTTCGTGCTCACACGTGCACTCGATTATTCATCGATTTTTTATAATTTACGTGGTTTTTTAAAGACTGGTCATACTCTTTTGTGAGAGATTGCTTGACAGACAATCTTTTGTACTAATTGACGCTGGTTTTTTAGCATGTCGTCGGCTCAGACCGGACTGCAAAGCGACTTAGTTGGCGCTATTATTGCTCAGGCTGAGGCAAGCCAGAGTGGCGCAGAGCGGGCTTCAGCAAAGGATGCTGGCTCAGAAAAATCGACTACCACAACCAAATCTAGTGGTAATAGGGGTAAAAGACTAAGAACCCCGAGCTCTGCTTATAGCAAAAGAGCAAAGCTGACAAAGGACGTCAGCTTCACGGACGGTGCAGGCTCCCATGGAAAAAACCTAAATTCCAAGGATGCGATTCCTTCGGAAACCTCCGTACACGAGGCAGATTCGGAGTCACGTGACGACCCGAACAACAAATCTAACAAGTCGGCTACACATGATGGCAGCGCCCATGGTCCTAGAAGTAGCCGGAGCTCACGCTCGCATGGAAACTACTCCAAGTCATTCAGTGACCATTCAGTGAGCTCTCGTGAGGTACAAAAAGATATGAACGACATGAAGGAGCAATTGTGTAATATTCAACAGATGCTAGCGTCTCTTACTCCTGTCGTATCGGAACTTAAACGTGCGTACGATGCTAGTATAAATAGCGACCAGGAGGGTGAGCCCCCAGAGAAGAGACAGAGGCTTATTTTGTCAGATGATGAGGAATCCCTGTTTGAGGAATCTTACTTTCGTTCTACTCCTGCCAATGATGATAGTAATGCTGACAGTGATAGCAGTGACAGTCCTGCTAAGGAAAAACCCTCAGAAACTCAGGTCAGTCAGCCTCAGGGCTTACAATGTTTGAAAAACATTTTGGCTGCAGTGACTAATGATGAAGTTAGAGGCCCGAAAGTTCATGATGATGTTGCTAAAATCATGAACACTGTTTTGTACAAGGGTATGCCTAAGGAAGTTCTGGAGGATATGGTGAAACTTTATCACCCACCTGAGAACTGTACCTACATGACTCAGATCAAATGTAACCAGAGACTGTGGGGAACACTGAGACCTTTAACCAAATATAATGACAAGATAATGCAAAACTGGCAAACCAACATATTCCATGGACTTACACCCTTCCTGGAGATAGCTGATGCTTGTTCTAAACACCTTGAAGGAGAAGGAGATGTGCCTTCTCCTGAAACATTGCTAGCAAAGATGACAGACGGATTCAGCATCCTTGCTGCAGTTGTACATGACATTTCTATGTTTCGCAGAGAACTCGCCAAACCAGACATTAATGAGAAATACAAAGCTTTGGCTTCCCCACAGAATCCTGTCACCAAGGAGCTGTTTGGTGACAATTTGGATGCAAATATGAAGGATATTGAAGAAGGCCTAAAAATCTCTAACAAGGTTCAGAAGAAAATAGCACGCCCTAGACCCACAAATATCTTCTCCAAACCCAGGGTATTTCCTACAAGGGCAACAGCTCGCTATGACAACAAAAAAGCTGGTTCTTTTTTAGGAGGGAAGAACCAGAGAAGTCAACAGAACAACAGGAAAAACTGGACAGGGAAAAAGTTCCAGAAGAAAGAGTATTAGGAAATACTCATGTAAGTCAACCTTTTGTTGCTGGTAATATAAAACAGTCTCTTCTTGAATGGCAGAAGTTGACTTCAGATCCAGTGATACTCTCTTATGTTGTAGGGGTCAAGTTAGACTTTACAGAACAACCTGTACAAGATTTTGAGCCTAACAGCTTAAACTTTAGTTCAGCAGAACAGCTTATTGTGGATTCAGAAATTAAAAAATTGCTTGACAAAGGTGTCATCATATCCTCTAATGAGGAACCAGGACAGTTTGTTTCTCCCATTTTTCTCAGGCCAAAAAAGGATGGCACCCATAGGATGATTCTTAACTTGAGAAAATTGAACTCTTGTATAAAATACCATCATTTTAAAATGGACACGGTGCAAACTTGTCTAAATCTTATGACTCCAAATTGTTACTTAGCTTCACTGGATCTGAAGCATGCTTACTACTCTGTCCCTGTAGCTCCAGAATTTCAGAAATACCTTAAATTTAGATGGAAAGGCAGTCTTTTTTCATATGTTGCACTTCCAAATGGACTGGCCTCTGCACCCAGAATCTGGACTAAGCTTCTTAAACCAGTTTTGGCACAATTAAGGTCAAAAGCATACATTTCCAGCATTTACTTGGATGACCTTTATTTACAAGGTGAAACTAAGGAAGCTTGTGAGGAGAATGTTAGAGAAACTGTGCAATTACTATCGAAATTGGGTTTTGTTATTCATGAACAAAAGTCCACACTAGTTCCTGTTCAAATTATGGACCACTTGGGCTTTACCTTGAACTCTAGGTCAATGACAGTTATGCTCACTTCAGAGAGAAGGGCTAACATTGTTTCAAAATTAATGGACAGAATGAAAAAGCCTAAATGCACAATTAGGCAAGGTGCACAGTTGATAGGTTCCCTAGTTTCAGCTTTACCTGGGGTACAATATGGGGAACTACACTACAGGTCCCTGGAAATGGATAAAATTCTAGCCCTTAAGAAAAACAGGGGTAATTTTGATGCACATATGATTTTTAGTAACAAGGCAATCACAGACATAGTATGGTGGATAGATAACATCAACTTGGCAAAAAATCTAAGACTCCCCAATCCTGACTGTATTATTCAGACAGATGCATCAAAAATGGGATGGGGTGCAGTGTTACAAGAGTCCACAACAGGGGGTAGATGGCAGAAATGTGAAATGACTAAACATATCAATTTTTTGGAACTTAGGGCGGCCCAGCTTGGGTTACGGTCTTTTCAAAAGGACATTTGTGGAAAACATGTACAGTTACAGATGGATAATACTACTGCTGTTGCATACATAAGAAATATGGGAGGCACCCATTCTAGTGAATGTAATGAGATCACCCTTTCTATCTGGAAGTGGGCAATTAAACACAACATTTGGCTCTCAGCAACTCACATCCCAGGTGTCCTTAATGTTGTGGCAGACAAACATAGCAGATATTTTAATGATAGGACAGAATGGTCTTTATCCCCCTCTATTTTTGAGCATTTAGCTGCATTCCTTGGGAGACCTTCTGTTGACCTGTTTGCCTCCAGGTTGAATCATAAGACAGAACTTTATTATGCCTGGAAACCAGACCCCCATGCACTTGCAATAGATGCTTTTCAGCAGTCTTGGTCTGTAAACTTAAACTATGCATTTCCTCCTTTCAGTATGCTGAATCAGGTCCTTCAGAAGCTGCAGACAGACCAGGCCGACATCTTGCTGATAGCTCCACTGTGGGCCACACAGCCATGGTTCCCAGTCCTCCTTCAGATGCTCTACAGAGAACCAGTGCTGTTGCCGCCAACACACAAAATCCTGAGCCTTCCGCACAAAAAAGGGGAGGTGCACCCACTGTCAGACAAGATGAGGCTGATGGCATGTTTGTTATCGGGAAAAGCTTACAAGAAAGGGTATTTCAGGCAAAACTCAAGACATTATTATGCAATCTTGGCAGACTGGCACACGAAAACAGTACAACACCTACATCAAAAAATGGATTAATTACTGCACTAAACTCAATTATGATCCCTTTCAGCCAAGTGTGCCACAAAGATTCCTCAACACTTGGATCTAACCAGCTCATCAAGCGTTTCATCAAAGGTGTATTTCACAGCAGACCTTCTTTTCCCAGATACCAAACCACATGGGATACAAATATTGTATTAGCATACCTAGAGAAATTATCACCAGTTTCAGAACTTTCAGACAAAGATCTAACACTCAAACTAGTTATGCTGGTGGCACTGATATCAGGACAAAGATGTCAATCAATTCATCTCATGAACCTTAAAACAGTGTTAAAAACTGACACAGGAGTGGCTTTTTTAATTGATGCATTAGTTAAACAGTCTAGGCCAACAAAAGATCAGCCAATCATAAACTTACCTGGTTTCCCAGAGAACAGCAGACTCTGTGTGTTGAATGTGTTACATGAATATTTAATTAGAACTAGCAAATATAGAAGTAGTGGTGTTTCACAACTTTTTCTTAGTTACAACAGACCTTTTAATCCTGTAAAAAAGGATACGATTGCTAGATGGATAAAGACAGTCATGTTAAAGGCTGGAGTGGATACAAGTGTGTTTAAAGCACATAGCACACGTGCAGCTTCTACTAGTAAAGCTTTTGCTGCCAATATTCCACTCAGTACCATTTTACGTACAGCTGGTTGGAGTAACAACAATACCTTTTCTAGGTTTTATAACAAACCAACAGTATCACAGAATACTAGTTTTGCTTTTTCAGTGCTTGAAAAACTGTGATTATGATTCATGAGAATATTGTTTGAGTTGCATTAAAAAAAAAAAAACTTGTTTCAACAGTTCTTTGTTCGTGTTCACGACAGCTTTGAAATCTCGTAGAATCCCGAATGATCAGATGAGAGTTAAATTTAAAGATTAAACGAGACTTACCTGTAAGTTGAAGTTTGATTGGAATTTAACTCTCATCTGGATCATTTGAGGGATTATACGCCCACCCTTATTTTCAGTTAACACCCACCCTTCTTCCTTTGTTGCCGTGAACACTCAACTTTAAAGATTGAGTACCACGCAGGCGCACGCATATCTCGTATAATCCCTCAAATGATCCAGATGAGAGTTAAATTCCAATCAAACTTCAACTTACAGGTAAGTCTCGTTTAATCTTTAAATTAATACTGAACAGGTTAATTCAATAGATATGTGATGCTCCATGCTGATGCCAATGAATTTTGATTTACATGTAACATACATGTACATGCAGTTTTTATTACACACACACACACACACACACAAACACACATAGCTCATACAGGAAATAACAGCAACTGCATTATGCTCATCACGCAGTCTTGTGTACAGCAATCACTGTATATAGGAGTCACTTAAGCAATTAGGAAAACTTGGATGACTGAACACCGTTTTGTGTTGATTAGATCAATGATTTTGTAGAAACAGAATGAAAGACACGAATGTAGATAAGATTTGTTTGTTATCACAAACCAGAAGCCTTACAGCATTTATCAGAAGGGAAGCAAATAGTCTTTATACTTACTCAATAAACTAAAATGAACTCCTCTTCGATTGTGTTAACTTGAAAAACTACATGTATTCCGCTTTTTCCCATCCCAAAGAATCTTCACTGAATCTTTGCATATGCTAGGTAACTTTCACTTTTCAAACAGTTTTTTACATTTTCTTGTTCATCTATGTCAAAGCTGTTGAAATAAAATGCTTTTGTAATTACCTGTGGACTTTTCATTAGTTTTAATCACGTTTAATCCAGCCCATTGAAATACAATGTTAGAATCTTCAATTTACACCCGCAGTCAATAACTTGCCGCGTTTTCGTTGGCTAACTCTAAGGTAATTTTATGTGAACAAGTAGCTCATAATAATTTCACAGAGGAAGTCCAAGTATACAATGTATCAATCACATAAAATAAGTTAGAGTTAGCCAACGAAAACGCTGCAAGTTATTGACTGCAGATACATTGTAAATTTTCACATTGTATTTCAATGGGGTGGATTAAACGTGATTAAAACTAATAAAAAGACCACAGGTAATTACAAAAACATTTTATTTCAACAGCTTTGACATAGGTGAAAAAGACAAAGTAAAAAAATGTTTGAAAAATGAAAGTTTCAGGAAGTTACAGGGTGGGGGGGTATACTACAAAAGTACCGAATTTTCTTACGTCGTTAATATCCCTAAATATATTCCATAACGTGCGAAATACTTGAAAATAGCATTCCGATCCGAATGAACAAGACTCTTAGTGAAAAAAAAAAAAAAAACCCCCGCCGAGAAAACGCAATCAACATATCTGTCACAACTACCACACTGAATCGGAGGAGAATCGGGGCACATCAAGCGCATACCAGCAACGCTACGTTCCAGCTATTTCGGCCCAGATCTTTTGATTTTTAGTTCAAATATGAATTGATAATATTTTGGTTGAAAAGTATTTCATTTTATAAGCATTGTTCATTATTTAAAAGGAAAAGAAGTTATTTTTACATCCCCTTTTTTATTTCAATATTTGCGGACAGTAGGCCTACCGGTATTGTTTAATGTCCATTGCCCGATGTACAATCAGGGGCGAATCCAGTATTAATTGAAGGGGGGGGGGGGGGGTCCGCCGCGGATCCTACAAATTTCTAATTACTTTCATGCACATTGTTACTCGTAGTGGTTTATCTGTGTTTAGATTAATTTCACGAAGTAGAAAATAAAGACCATCTATACCTTCTCTTTGAAATGAAATAGGGCCTATACAAATGCTGATATATTAACCCCGAAAACTTGATTTTTTTGCCGACACATGTATAATTTTCTTTTATAAATGAGGTATTCTAAAGAATTTGCTAAAATTTGAACACAGGATTTAGTCATTTGGCTGGGACGACATTTAAAAAAAAGATTAAAGGATAGGCTACTCTTCTCTTCATTATTGAATATATTAACTTAATTTTGTTACTCAAGACAATCTAATGAATTAGGAGCTGAATAATTTCTGTTATGTAATTTACAAACTAAAGTCTCTTGTTAATGATTGGGTAAATTTGGATAAAGGCGTAACATGGAATAAAGTACAATTTATCTTCTATTCATTTCCCAAACATAAAAAAGTCTTATTTGTATTTTCATCAAAAATCCTTGTTGTGTTTGATGGGTTTTGCACTGTACATTAGTACTTCTACAAAGCATTTGAAGAATGGCATTGCAACACCAAATATCTGCTCACACCAGAAGGGAGCACAACTATTGCATCTTTCCAAGAGAGTTGAAAATTGCACTGTTTACAGGTCATATTGCTCAATAACATGCTTTAAGGCTGTATTCCCAGAGCTTTTAGATCGATCTATCCCCGCGGGGAGTCTCACTAGATTACTGTCAGATAATCCGGCTTAAATGTCCGTCCCGCCTGCTACAAGCTGTAAGGGGGTAATTAACTTTCGTGTCCGCTCGGCTGACAGCTATTTAGCGTAAACCCCCAGGGGGTTAGGTCGATCTAAAGTAGATCGATCTAATCTCTGGAAATGGGGTCTAAGTCATAATAACTCTTCATTTTGGCCAAAAATTTGATTTTCCTGGAGTAAATGGCAATTTTCCCGTACTTACCAATGGTCAACGACCCCATTCCTGCATTGTTTTTTTCCGAAACGTTTGGTTTTTTGTTAAAATCTCTTAAGAGATTTTAACTGACGGAGCCCTCTGACATTGCATTGCGAGTGATATTTTCTGTTGACATACTTAAAACCACGGGAGAGCATGCAACAACAACACTATATAACAATAATATAAGATTCATAATATATATTCGTCTTATTGCTCAAAATGCATTTTTATCTACAATGTGTGCGGTTCTGGGCTTTTCGTTTTCCGACGCACTGTACCAAAACTCGAAACTTACGTCTAAGGATTGCATCATGCATCTGTTTCATATGGCGCCATATGTAATTTTGGTCTCGAATGAATGCGAAAATCCGCGTGGTACCCCAACGTCATTGGCAACGGATGCCTTGACGACCAGGAAGAAAGGCATCGAAAGCCCTATTGACAAGCACAGATTTAAGTTTTATAACAATAATAGCCATTTTAGTGGTAAAATACAATATAATATATTTTCGTGTGTTGTTTACAATGTATTTCTTGTGGAATTTTGAATCTCAAAGGAAGAGTTATTATTGCTTTAAATCAACTGCAAAATGTGGTGAGTCTTTTGATTTTAACTTACTGTGAAAGAAAAGAGAATCGTTTTTGGCATACATATCATGGTAGCAATATCGTGACTCATGAGTGATTGGATATCGATGCAGAAGAAGACCATGTCTTGCTGCACACATCACAACCATATAACAAATCACCACAAGGCACTTTGTGGTCAAAATGCAAGTGCTTGTGAATATTTCCACTGGGATAAGATCTTGTCACGGCGATACAAGCCTTGCTAAAACGCTCTTTTCCAACCCTCTCCATGAAAATTTTCCCATTGCAGCATTTGTAAATTAAGTCACATGTGTGTCCTTTACGTCGTTAAAGACTTGGTGTTCACGGACACGCAATGCATTGTTGACATACTTGTAGTGCTTCGGCCAAAATAACAACAAATATTTCATAAAATGATGATTTACATGTTTTAATACATGTTATACTTTTATCATTAGCCATTTTGCAAAAAAAAAAAAAAAAAAAAAAAAAAACAACTCATACGCCAAATCTACAAAGATCACAAAAAAAAGCCAGTAATGATGAAACGTCTCCTCTGAATGTAATAACTCTGTGAAATGTCTGACTTGTACAACTCAAGCTTAACAAATGAAATACTGTAATCTGAGATAAGCTTATCAGTTGACTGTGCCTAATGAAAAAGATTTTCATTATATTTGAAAAGAATAGGAAATTCCATGGATAAAAAAAGAGTTAAATGTTAATAATTTTGGCAATTTTAGTCTGTAAACTATTATAGAGAGATCTGAGATAAGCTTATCAGTTGACTGTGAGTAATAAAAGTGGTATTTTGGACAATACAATTGGGAAAACTGTAAATTACACTGAAAACACCAGCAAATTCAATGAATAAAAATAGTTAAACATTAGTCATTTTCACAAATGTAGAAGAATCTTTATGATATTTTTACAAATAAAGCTTATCAACTATAATAATCTGACATAAGCTTATTTGTTTACTGTTTCATGAAAAATATTTTTCAGAAAATATATTAGAGAAAACTGAAAATAACACTGAAAAGAAGGCAAATCCCATGGCTTAAAACACTTAAATGTTAATACATGTAAGTAATTTCAATAAATCTAGTCCAATGTTTGTGAAATTTCTACAAATGATTCTTAGCAACAATAAAAATCTGTGACAAGCTAATCTGTTGACTGAGTGTAATGAAACTATTTTTTAAACAATATATTTGAGAAAAGTGCAAATTAAATTTAAAAAAAAATGGCATATCCCGTATATAAAAATAGTTAAATGTTTGTAAGCTTCAGTTGTGAAATTTACTTGGATGTTTGTGAAATTTGCACAATGAAGCTTAAAATTAACAACTGAAATAATCACCCATAAGCTTATCAGTTGACTGCGTGTAATGAAATTAATTTTTCGGACAACATATTAGAGAAAACTAAAAACTGCATAGAAAAAAAGGCAAATTCCATGGTTTAAAATACTTTTATGTTAATAATTTTGACAAATATAGTCCAATGTTTGTGAAATTTCTACAAATGATGCTTTCAACTGAAATAATCTGAGATCAGCTTATCAACTTACTGTGCCTAATGAAAATGATGTTTTCAGAAAATATATTTAAGAAAACTAAAAATAAGATTGAAAAAACTGGCAAATTCCATACCTTTACATATTTAAATGAATGATGTTGACAAATCTAGTCCAATGTTTGTGAAATTTATACAAAATAAGCTTCACAACTGTAATAATCTGAGATAAGTGTATCAGTTGACTGCGTTGTTTATTGGCAATTGATATTAGAAGATTGAGAATTACAAAAAACAAAATTTTCAATATTACAATAATATTATTCAGTATCAAATGGAGCATTTTATGTTATGATTTGAGTTTGGTTGTGTAAGAGGTGACAAATTACCTATTACTGTCATCTGGAAACAATATATACCCATTCAAGATTTCTCCTTACTACCAATACCAGATGCAGATTCCTCCTTGAAAAATGGACATCTAAAATCAGGCTTTGCACATCATATGACGTTTTTAATCTTGCCACATATCATGTATTCTACACATGGATGAGATAATGCACTGCTCTTGCTGCTGTTTTTCACTGTCTACTTTTTCCATAGGTATTATCCATTACAAGATAGGTAGAGTCAGTTCACCAAGAAGCCACCATGCTGTATGGAAAGGGTCACCTGGAAAAATAACAATATATCTGAGAAAAGTGAAAATCATATTAAAACTAGAGGATCAGAGAGGCGATACCGCCTCCGAATATAGTACCACCAGCTGGAGCAAGCGCATTCATATGGACCCCCACCCCCCACGCCCAAAAAGGGACACCACCACCAGTCTTGTGCTTGACAAGCTCTATAAAATGCAATGAACAAGAAAATGCCAAAAAATATAATTAATGGTACAATCAGGCAGATTTTCAAAATGACCTGTATTTTCCTAACATTGATCACTTCTGTGATTCTCTAGACAATAGGCCTATTGGTTTTTCTTGAAATGTGTTGTCAGCATTGCATATATGCTGACAAAAGAGAAAACCTAGGGGCAACACTGGGCATATCTCTGCTACTTTTGAAGATATGAGGGGCAAGAAAATAAGTTCAGTTCATGGTGAAAAAGAAGGTCAAAGATCAATTTCAATGTCACAGTTTATGACTTCCTATTCAAGTTCAATAGTAACCATGGGCATTTGCCTTTGCCACTTTTGGAGATTTAAAGGCCAGAAAACATGCAAAGTGCAGTTCATCATAAAAGGTAGGTCAAAGGTCAATTTCAAGGTCACAGTTAGATAGCCAATGTATGACTTCCTACTCAAGTTCACAGTAACTTTGGGCGTATCTCTGCTAGTTTCTGAGATATAAGGGAAAGAAAATTGACAAAAGTCAGTTCATGGTGAAAATTAGGTCAAAGGTCAATTTCAGGGTCACAGTTAGATTGCCAGTATATGATTTAATTCCTATTCAAGTTCAATAGTAACTATGGGCAGATCTTTGCCAGTTTTTGAGATATAAAGATCAGAAAATTTGCAAAGTGCAGTTTATCATAAAAAGTAGGTCAAAGGTAAATTTCAAGGTAACAGTTAGATTACCAGCATATAACTTCTTATTCAACTTCAATAGTAACTATAGACCCATCTCTGCCAGTTTTAGAGATAAAAGGGAAGAAAGATTTTCAAAGTTCAGTTCATGGTGAAAAGTAGGTCAAAGGTCAATTAAAAGGTCACACTTAGATTGCCAGTATATGACTTCCTATATAAGTTTAATAGTAACTATGGGTGTATCTCTGCCAGTTTTGGAGATAAAAAGGAAAACTTGCAAAGTGCAGTTCAAGGTGGAAAGTAGGTCAAAGGTCGATTATAAAGTCACAGTTCTATTGCCAATATATGACTTCCTATTCAAATTTCATAGTAAACATGGGCGTATCTTTGCCAGTTTTGAAAGTATAAGCACTGAAAAAGTTGCAAAGTTCAGTTCATGGTGAAAAGTAAGTCAAAGGTCAATTTTAAGGTCACAGTTAGATTCCCAATGTATGACTTTCTATTCAAGTTCAATAGTAACTATGGACCTATCTCTGCCAGTTTTGGAGATGAAAGGGAACAAAAATTTGCAAAGTTCAGTTTATGGTGAAAAGTAGGTCAAAGGTCAATTTTAAGGTCACAGTTAAATTGCCAATATATGACTTCCTATTCAAGTTCAACAGTAACTATGGGCGTTTCTTTGCCAGTTTTGGAGATATAAGGGACTTAAATGTTGCAAAGTTCAGTTCATGGTGAAAAGTAGGTCAAAGGTCAATTTCAATGCCACAATTAAATTGCCAGTATATGACTTCCTATTCAACTTCAACAGTAACTATGGACCTACCTCTGCCAGTTTTGGAGATATAAGGGACTAAATGTTGCAATTTCAGAGTTGCAATTATGTGCCATAAATTTCCTACAAAAGAAATTAATTGAAATAGAGAAAAGGTCATTTTGGTTGAAATTCTTGAAATGGGAGATGCTCAGAAGTTCCACATGTTCAAATTTCATGAAATAATGTCATTTTTGACCAGTTATCTGTCTCGCCAAGCCTTATGTTTTATTTTCCAGGGGTTCAAAATTTATTATACATTACCGTATTGCACATTTTGCTTTCACCACCACAATGTACTTTTTGATACGGCATAACTCGAAAACCATAAGGAAATAAAGGAAACCACCTCCAGTTTGGGCTTGACATGCTCTACAAAATGCAAAAAAGAACAGGTCTCTAGCATTAAGGGTTCCCGCATTAGAGAGAGTTTTCAGTTTCGGTATGTTATGGCTGCTACTCCTGTGAAAATGCACCGAATGACCCCAAACTCATGGAGGTGAAAGATGACCTGAAGGGTAACACCTGCCAATAATATCATAGGTTAGGTCTGTGTAGTTTTTTTGAAAATTTTGGCCCGTTTGACCTTGAAGCAAAGGTCAAAGGTCAAATCCAGGGGCATATTTGAAATCTCCACATATGGCTTTTGGTCAGCCGTCTATAGAAATTTTTTCCCATAATTCCTTCCGTATGGTAGCAAATTAGCATTGAATTTTCAAAAATTTTGACAAAGGTGCATTTCAACGAGCGTCACGCCCAGGCCAATGCACCGACTGAGACAAAAAACCTGGGGGTTCAAGTTGAGGTTATATGTGACCTAAATCCAAGAGATGGGGACAAGGGTCCTTGCGGTCTAGGAGGAGAAGCGGTAATGGTGACTTGTATCAGGTGCCGGAATGCGGAGCTGGCGGAGCCGCAGGAGCCGGACGAGACAGGTCGGGACTAAAACCATGAGTACTGCCAGCATACACGCTGGTGGTACTAAGTATCTCCTACTAGACTATTAGACCTAAGAACTTGATACTTTGGTGTTTGGCGGAACTGTAGTCAGAATGTGTGTTGGTATTTCAGAATTTTAGTGCAACAGGGGGTTGCGATCTCCCTTGGGGGGGGGGGGGGGATGATTCTGAATTTTTTTCATGTTATTTCTGTTATCTCCTCCTAGACTATTTGAGTTAGATAATTGAAACTTTGGTGATTGCTAGACCTGCCATCAGGGAAGTGCGTTGGCATTTCAGAATTATTTCAAGAGGGCATTGGGATGTCCTTGGGGGGGGGGAGGGGAGTAGTTGTTCAAATTATTTTCACGTTATAATTTCCCCAATCTCCTCTTAGACCATTAGACTTAAAAACTTGAAACTTTGGTGATTGGTGGAACCGTAGTCAAAATGTGTGTTGGCATTCCGAAATTTTAGTGCAACAGGGGGTTGCGCTGTCCCAGGGAAGTGTGTTGGCACTTCAGAATTATTTTAAGAGGGCATTGGGCTGTCCTTGGGGGGGGGGGGATAGTTGTTCAAAATGTTTTCATGTTATAATTTCCCCAATCTCTTCTTAGACCATTACACTTCAGAATTTTAAATTTTGGTGAATGATAGCTGTTTTCTCAAGGATGGGCATTTCATAATTAGTTTAACAGGAGGTTTGGCTATCTTGGGGGGGGGGGTATTCTAAATTATTTTTTACACTGGTATTTCTGTTATCTCCTCCTAGCCCATTAGAGTTAGGAAATTGAATCTTAGGTGATTGGTAAATTTGTCATAAGGGATGTGCATTGGCATTTCAGAATTATTTCAACAGAGGGTTTGGCTATCCCTAGGGGGTGGTTGATTTTGTTATACCATTATGCTTATATGTCACACAACAACTAATTGATCATTTTCTGACTTTTGTACCCATACAGGATGATGAGGAAAGTAAAGGGCAAAACACAATGGTAATGCAAATGTGGAGACGTCAAGCCAATGCTATGTGCACAAATATGCAAATCAATCCCCGCTTGTCAATCAGAGGCAGCTTCTCACACTGTTCATGCTCAATGGGGAGTTAATTGCCGCTTGCTGCAAGCCAACGTAATTACAAAGTCCCTTATCGGCTGGTACTGTTCCTTTCTCTAGGCTGAGATAGTCCTATCTCCTGCCTTGCTAGTGGTTTGTTCCATAAGGTGACCTCATTTGAAAGTTTTTTGCGTATTATTCTTAACTCATAACACATATAAATCTCTAAGTGACCCTTTTACAAAATGATAATTTCCCAGGTTCTATATATATGGTGATGACGGTCGGAAAGGGATTGACCAGAACACCGGTATAGCAATATTATTGTTGCACTGACCTGTGCTGAAGCTGTGACATTGTAGATCCTGCTGATGATGATGAGTTTATAAATTAGCTGTCCTCAGTTGGATGATAATCCAAGAGACATACCTTCATCTCTGCTGAAATCAGAGAACAAACCATCAATATAACAACAACATAACATATACAGGCACAGACAGTATATACAACACAGATATAATACAAAGATCAGAATATATTTAAACATTCAAACAGTGACAAAACAGACATATACAGTAAGCAGAATATATACAGACACATACTGTCACAAAAGACAATGCACTGTGAGGCATGAGAAAACATTAAGTTTAATGTTTATATATAGGAATTGGAATGACTGTCAGAAATTCTTGTTCACATCCACCAGTTCATATAAACTCTTTTCACTTTGAACATATATAAGACTCTGTGGGACTTAAGTGACCCCTTTTAAAAATGATAATTTGCAGGAAATTTCATCTATATACAGATTTTTCTTAGCGCCTTCCAACCCCAACCCCTACAAGTTCATATCAACCCTTGTCAATTTGAACATATATAAAACTGTGCGGGATCTAAGACTGGGTTCCCATACCTTGATCAATCCATCTGGATCGGTCTAACTTCCTGAGGAGTCTCACTTGATTGCTATCATCTAAATCAGCTTAATTGTCTGCCAGGAATATCGAATCAGCTAGAGGGTAAAGATAATTACCCCCTTACAGCTTTACTAAGCGTGACAGACATTAAAGAGGGTTAAGTTGATAGCAATTTAGTCAGACTACCCAGGGAGATAGATCAATCCAAATATCTGGAGGATTGTCCCCAAGTGACCCTTTAAAAATAATAATTTCCCAGTAACTATATAAAGTGGTAAGTATCAAAAGGGGATTGAAGAGAACAACACAGTATAGTAATATCATTTTTGCAATAACCTGTGGTGAGGCTGCAATGCTGTAGATCTTAATGGGATGATGAGTTTAGCTGTCTTCAGTGTGATGATAATCCAGAAGACACACTTTCATCTCCGCTTAAAAGAATATATACAGACATATACAGCAGTTACAAAATAGACACACCAAAGTGATCAAAATATATATAAACACATACAGCCACAACACAAACACAGATAGTGATCAGAATACAGGGATTGGAATGACCATCAGAAAATTTTGATTAAGTCCATGAGTTCACATTAACCTTTTAAACTCTAAACATATATAAATCTCTAAGTGACCCTTTTACAAAACAAACATAAATAGTGATCAGAATATATATTTATAAACACATACAGTGTCACAAAAGACAATGCACTGTGTATCATGAGAATACAAACATTGAATTTAAAGTTCATATATAGGGATTTAGATGACTGTCAGAAATTCTTGCTCACCCCCACAAGTTCACATTAACCCTTATAACTTTGAACATATATAAAACTGAGTGGGATCTAAGTGTCCCTTTAACAAAGTGATATATTCCTAGGTATTATATTATATAGTGGTGATGGTCACAAAGGGTTTGAAGAGAACACATTATAATTTTTTTTTTTTGCACTTACCTCTACTAAGGCTACAAGGTTGTAGATATTGTAGGTGATGATGAGTTTATAAATAAGCTGTCCTCAGTGAAATGATAATCCAACAGACATACATTCATCTCTGCTGAAATCAGAAAACACATCATCAATAAAGAGTATATGGAGACATACACAGTAGTTACAACACAAACATAACACAGAGATCAGAATATATTTAAACAGTCATACAGTGATAAAACACACATATACATTGATCAGAAAATACACACACATATTTAGTGTCACAAAACACAATGCACTGTGAGGCATCAGAATAAAAACAAAATTTAGTGTTTATTTATAGGGATTGGAATGACTGTCAGAAAATTTTGTTCACAACTCAAGTTGACATTATTTTAACTTTGAACATAGATAAAACTGAGTTGGACCTAAGTGACTCTTTTACAAAATGATAATTACCAAGGAAATATAATTTTGTTTTGTTTATTTAAGTGACCTGTGCTCTAATGCAAATAATACAGACACATTTTTTTTTCTTTTTGCACCCAGCCCCAGTGGGCTTTTAAGTCACTGTTTCATTTATGTTCTTCTAATATATTAATGAACAAGAAAATACTTAAAAACAATTAATAATGTATAAATAAACATATAAATAGCAATACTGTACGTTCAACTAATAGTAACTATGGAAATATAAAACATTAATTACATACAAGTATAAATAATAGAATGCATATACAAACTAGGACGTTACTCATTATAAATGAACTCTTTCCATATCATATAGGCACAATTTATATAATTACTAAATATTCTTATATGTTTCTCCATTAATTTTGCAAGTTTCTCTGGCAAATTTAAGTTCAAAAAGTCTAAATCAGTTGCTGTTATTTTTGTCAACAACTCTTCTCTTATGTTATCATAGGAAGCACATTCAAAAATATAATGCTTTTCATCCTCTATCTTTCCACAGTCACACACACTCTTTCTTCCACTTTTTCTCTCACAAACCTGCCCGTTTCTATTCTAATCATAAGTATACCAAATCTTAATTGTCCTACCAATGATCTAGTCATTTTATCAAATTTGTGGGTTACATAGTTCTCAACCTTGTATTTATTTTTAAATAGTATGTAAGTTCTGAGTTTACTGTATGAGGGCAAATCTCTCTCCCATTTACTCGCCACTAGATCTCTCAAGCATTCTGCAGATCTATCCACATCCACTAACTCCATACGTTCAAATTTATTTGTCATGTCTAATTTTTGTAATATACTATATATCTCACTAGACCAGTTATTTATTCACTTATTATAATCTATGATAAAGATAAATAAGGTAGGTGATAGGTTGTCACCTTGCCTAACACCAGCTATCGTTTCAAATCAGTTTGTATTGAGATTTACACATGACTCTGTTAGTGCGTACATAGATTTCAGCACAGCATACATAGGCCTGTTAATGCCAATATTTATCAGTTTGAGGAGTAGTAAATCTCTATTTAAAAAATCAAAAGCTTTCATCAGATCGATGAAAGTTACAAAATTGTCTTTACCCTCCTCCATTCTGTTCTTAACAATAAAGTTTAACACAAAGATGTGGTCTTCACAAGACCTGTTTTTTCTAAAGCCATTTTGTTCTTCTACCAGTAAGTCATTGTTCTCACAGTACGCTAAGATTCTTTTGTTTATAACCGAGCTGAATATTTTTGATATGGTACACAATAAACTTATTCCTCTATAATTAAGCGGTATTCTTGGATCTAGTTTACTGTCCTTCGGTATTGGTATTATAATTGCCCTTCTCCACATACTTGGTAATAATCCCGTGTCAAATATGAAATTGAACAGTGATGTTAGTAAATCAATAATAGTTTTGTTTTTCAAAATTTCATTGGGGATATTATCTACTCCCGTAGCTTTCTTTTGCTTTGCCTTAGCTACTGCTGCGCTAACTTCTTGTTTTTCAATAGTGCCATTTATGCTGTAATTAGGATTAAACAAGGGATCAGACATTACACCCTCCATAGTTCTATATTCTAGACTTTGTTCGAGAAATTCTGCATCGAAATCATTTATGTCAGTTTCATTATATAATTTACTAAACTCGCTAAATCCCATTTTTTATAAGAAATATTGATAATATATACTACATCACCATTTTTGTTATACGTTTCCATTGGAATTTGTGATTTGCCCCAAAGTTCAACTTTTTTAATGTAGTCCAAAATTTTGCGATGATCTTTGACACAGGCCATCTCTGTTTCACATGCAAGTCCCCTGTTGTAATGCCTTTCATGATACCAGAGGCGTTTGTCAAATTCTTGTAATTTTGTTTTATAATCAATGAACAGACTATTTCTGATATATCAATGGCCTTTAAATTTAGAGTATTGAATTTCTGCATTATGCAAACGTTTCCATAAATCCGTTAATACATCACACCAATATGGTTGGGATATTCTCAACTTCTTTTTTGATGTCCCACCGTTTTTTATATCAGTAAAGGGAACAGTGGCATTCATTTCATTAATTAATTCTATAACTATGCGTTCATACATGTATAATCAACTTCATTTTGATTTTCCCTCATTAGTTCGATACTATCTATAATCTGTTTGATTGTTAGCCTTGATATATCTGACGTAAAGATGTCACTTTTACCTTCTTTAAACTTGTATATTCTGCGGCCACTGCTGTTGCTATTTATTTGTTTGTTTTGGTTTATATTGTGCATGTCATCACAACCTAAGTTATCCATACGGACGTGTTTCAATGTAGCTTCCAATATTGAGTGATCAGGATGTTTACATCTTCCACTTAATAGACCCTGTAGATTGTGATTCTCTACATAATCACTCATCGTATGTACCCTAAAGTCTGTAACTTTGGACAAATTCTCATGTGGAGCAATAATGTAGTCTGCAACTGATTTTCCTCTCTTTAAATAAGTATAATTGTTATGTGCCTTATCACCCCTACCATTTAATATGCATTTCTTACTTTAAATAAGAAATTCAATCAGCTCCGATCTGTGCGAATTTGTCTTATCATCAATACTATCCCTCCCCTGAATCTCATCTACCTGAGGCGTGAAATCTCTCATACTACCGATTCTTGCATTTAAATCTCTGCATAGACAAAGTATGTCGCAACTTTCATACATATAACATTTTGCTAATAAATGTGCAAAGAAATTAGCAGCAATATCTTCCGTAAGGCGAGTTTTCAGGAGGGAGATAGCAATTAAAAAGTATGATATTTCTATCAGCAATTTCATGTATTAGTTCTATTCCTAAGATTCCGTCTACAGACTTATCTACCACAGAAAGTTTATATTCATCTAACACACTTTTTTTCACAAAAATGCCCACACCCCCAAAATTATGAGGCGCTTTCTTGTGTTTAGCAAACCTAGGGTGATTTATAAACATATATCAGGGGCGGATCCAGAGCTATTTACTGACTGTCTTCCAAATTATCTTTGTTGATTCTTCCTCCAATTTTGACCGTCTTCCAACAGAAAAAATTAGATATCCGTCAATGTAAACTTGAAAATCTGACCGTCTTCCGGAAGACCCAGAAGACGGCCTAAATCCGCCCCTGTATATCCTTCTATATTGAATAAGTTACTATTATTTGGGTTTGCATGAGTTTCCTGCACAGCAAATATATCGTAGCCTGATGTTTTTATAATGGTCTCCCTTAACTGTTTATTCTCATCTGTCCATCTGTCTGTTCTGCAGATTTCTCCCAGATTATACGATGATTTGTGATATAAAAACAACTTCCGCCTGGAATACAGTTGAGTAGAAAATCCATATTTTTGTCCATGATCCTTTCAGTATGGGATTTACTTGCTCGGATCCACACCTTCAGTACTCTCAGGTCTGTACTATAACGAATGTTAGTTTTCCTCCTCACTACTGCAATCTTCTCCTCTATGCTACAGAACTCAACTTTCACAATCCCTGGTTTTCCATTTCTGCCTGGTAGTCTGCGACATTCCTGGATCCTGGGTATCACTGAGGCCTCTTCACTAGTTTCTCCATGCGTCATTACGGTCATCAATACCTGACTAACCATATTTTCAAGATCCTCCTTAGGATTTTCTTGCAGGTTCAAGATTATAATACTCAGGTCAGAATTCTCGACGCCACTTTTGCTCGTGTCTAAACAGAATTTGACTTGTGTTTTAAGGTCACTTATTTGCCTATCCTTTTCTTGGATTTTATTTGAAAGCTGGGCGGCTTTTTCCTCCAGTATTTTAATGTGCTCGTTATGTGATTTAATTCTATCTTCAACTTCTTGTTTTATAATATTATTTTTTTCCATCACAAGGGATGTTATGTCCTGCTTTAGAGCTTTATTTCTTTTTGCCCGTCTCTTATTATTCTTAATTCTTTTGCCATATTTTTAATCTCCCTGGCCAAATTTTGCATAAATTCTGTTGGTGCTAATGGTATGTGTGTCACTTGTTGACTGCGCCTGTTTAAGGTTTTGTCTGTCATTTTCCACACTTAGCTGGATTGTTATCAGTATGGGGCTTGATTACGTTTCAAGTTGTAAACTATCATTATGTACATCACCAAACAGAACACGGTGCCCTCCCTCCATAATGTCACCAGTTGATGGAGATTGTTCATGACTACTGCTTATTGACCTGCTAGTCTCCACAGTCTTTCGCTTTTTACTCCCCGACTTCCTTCTACCCATAGTACAATCAATGCAGATATTATACCAGGTTTACAATAAGACTGAGTAACAGTGATAGTCAATGTGTTGACAAACAACTGCACTGCCCCGGGTGTTAGCACCTCATTACTGCTATAATTGCAATGAGTTGTGTACACCAAATCATGTCATCTAAATTCATGTAATAAGTAGATGTTGGCCTGAGCTTTCCATTATCTTACGAAGACCAACCAAATTTTCTTCTCCAAATATCTGATGATCAATACCTCGAAAAGTCTCACCGATAGCTGCAAGTCAACACCGATTGGCTTAAAAAGGCGTTTTCCGCACATAAACAGTCTGCGTTGTCTCCACAATGCCGAAATACACCATATTCCGAGAGCACCAAACTTTCACATACTTGTATTCCACATGCACAGTATACATAATATATATATATATATATATATATATATATATATATATATATAGTGGTGCTGGTCAAAAGGGGATTGAAGAGAACAACAAAGTATAGCAATATCATTATTGCACTGACCTGTGCTGAGGCTGCGATGTTGTGGTCTTGATGTGATGATCAGTTTAGATGTCCTAAGTATGATGATAATCAAGGAAATACACCTTCATCTCTGCTGAAATCAGAGAACAAATCATTAATTAAGAATATATGCAGACATATACGGCAGTTACAACATAGACACATCACAGTGATCAAAATATATATAAACAAATACAAAACAGACATGCATTGTGATCAGAATATATAGAGACACATAAAGCAATGCAACAGGCAGTACACAGGCTTCAGAATGCATGCAGGAATTTTTTTCTAGTTGTGAGGGTCAAAAGGGTATTGAAGAGAACAACAAAGTATAACAATATTGTTTGCACTGACCTGTGCTGAAGCTGTGACATTGTAGATCTTGCTGGTGATGATGAGTTTATAAATTAGCTGTCCTCAGTTGGATGATAATCCAAAAGACATACCTTCATCTCTGCTGAAATCAGAGAACAAATAATCAATATATAACATATACAGGCACATACAGTATATACAACACAGATATAATACAGAGATCAGAATATATTTAAACATTCAAACAATGACAAAACAGACATATACAGTAAGCAGAATATATACAAACACACACAGTCACAAAAGACAATGCACTGTAAGGCATGAGAAAAAAAATTAATTTAATGTTTATATATAGGTATTGGAATGACTGTCAGAAATTCTTGTTCACATCCACCAGTTCATATTAACCCTTAATTTTCACTCTGAACATATAAAAGACTCGGTGGGATTTAAGTGACCCTTTTAAAAATGATAATTTGCAGGAAATTTCGTCTATATACAGATTTTTCTCAGCGCCTTCCCACTGCAACCCCTACGAGTTCATATCAACCCTTGTCAATTTGAACATATATAAAACTGTGCGGGATCTAAGACTGGGTTCCCATACCTTGATCAATCCATCTGGATCGGTCTAACTTCCTGAGGAGTCTCACTAGATTGCTATCAACTTAATTGACTTAATATCGAATATCGAATATCGAATCAGCTAGAGGGTAAAGATAATTACCCCCTTACAGCTTTACTAAGCGTGACAGACATTAAAGAGGGTTAAGTTGATAGCAATTTAGTCAGACTACCCAGGGAGAAAGATCAATCCAAATATCTGGGGGACTGTCCCCAAGTGATCCCTTTAAAAATAATAATTTCTCAGGAACTATATAAAGTGGTAAGGATCAAAAGGGGATTGAAGAGAACAACAAAGTATAGCAGTATCATTTTTGCACTGACCTGTGGTGAGGCTGCAATGCTGTAGATCTTGATGTGTTGATTAGTTTAGCTGTCCTCAGTGTGATGATAATCCAGAAGACACACCTTCATCTCCGCTGAAAAGAATATATGCAGACATATACAGCAGTTACAAAATAGACACATCACAGTGATCAAAATATATATAAACACATACAGCCACAACACAAACATAGATATTGATCAGAATAAATACAGACACATACAGCCTCACAAAATTCAATGCACTCTAAGGCATCAGAATATAAACATAAAATTTAATGTTTACATACAGGGATTGGAATGACCGTCAGAAATTTTTGATTAGGTCCACGAGTTCACATTAACCTTTTAAACTCTGAACATATATAAATCTCTAGGTGACCCTTTTACAAAACAAACATAGATAGTGATCAGAATATATATAGACACACACAGTGTCACAAAAGACAATGATTTGTGAGGAATGAGAATACAAACATTAAATTTAAAGTTCATGCATATATGGGGATTTAAATGACTGTCAGAAATTCTTGGTCACCCCCACAAGTTCACATTAACCCTTTTAACTTTGAACATATATAAAACTGAGTGGGATCTAAGTGTCCCTTTAACAAAGTGATATATTCCTAGGTATTATATTATATAGTGGTGATGGTCACAAAGGGTTTGAATAGAACAGAGTATAATTTTTTTTTTTTGCACTGACCTCTACTAAGGCTACAAGGTTGTAGATATTGTAGGTGATGATGAGTTTATAAATAAGCTGTCCTCAGTGAAATGATAATCCAACAGACATATCTTCATCTCTGCTGAAATCAGAAAACACATCATCAATAAAGAATATATGCAGACGTACACAGTAGTTACAACACAAACATAACACAGAGATCAGAATATATTTAAACAGTCATACAGTGATAAAACACACATATACATTGATCAGAAAATACACACACATATTTAGTGTCACAAAACACAATGCACTGTGAGGCATCAGAATAAAAACAAAATTTATTGTTTATTTATAGGGATTGGAATGACTCAGAAATTTTTGTTCAACCCTCAAGTTGACATTATTTTCACTTTGAACATAGTTAAAACTGAGTAGGACCTAAGTGACCCTTTTACAAAATGATAATTACCAAGATAATATATAAAGTGGTGCTGGTCAAAAGGGGATTGAAGAGAACAACAAAGTATAGCAATATCATTATTGCACTGACCTGTGCTGAGAAGTTGTGGTCTTGATGTGATGATGAGTTTAGATGTCCTAATATGATGATAATCAAGGAGATACACCTTCATCTCTGTTGAAATCAGAGAACACATCATTAATAAAGAATATATGCANACAAGGAATTCAGTTTATTGGAATGTATTTTTGAATAACAAGTTAAGAAAATTCACTAGTTCACTAAAGACACAAAACAACTGTCACTTTTACTTTAAAACCCTTTTGTTATTATTTTGATAAATTTATATAGTTACAGTATTGATAAACAAAGTATCACGTTTTCAATAATTAATATTTTAAATTACAATCCATAACTGCATGGTTGTGTCAATTACCAATATACCATGTTGAGTCAATGTCACATTATGACGGTTTTTTGATGTGGCTGGATCAATGTTGATTTTACGTTGAATTTAGGTAGATCAACAGCAATTCAAAGTATCAACCTGTTTTCAACATTGATCCAACGTGCCTATGCCTGCTGGGTAGAGCCAATTTTAACATCTTCGACTTTCCAATTGTGGTGGTTGAGCTACACAAATTGTGAGACACTGATTGTTGTAGTGCTGACTAATTCCATTATGTTTAAAGTACTAGAGCCGAATTTGACAGCATCGATTTTTCAATTGTTGTAGTTGAGCTGGACCAATCGCTAGGCTGGGAGAAAAACTGCAGGCTCCCCCTGGGATTCGAACCCGGGACTCTTGCTCACTGTCCAACTGCTCTACCAACTGAGCTACCCAGCCAGGGCCAACACCCGGCAGCCGTTACAGGGGCTAGAGCCAATTTTAACATCTTCGACTTTCCAATTGTGGTAGTTGAGCTAGACCAATCGCGACACACCGATTGTACTAGTTCGGATCAATTCCAGTATGTTTAAAGTACTATAGCCAATTTCGACAGCATAGACTTTCTGATTGTGGTAGTTGAGCTGGACCAATCACTAGGCTGGGAGAAAAACGGCATTACAAAGCATAAGTCCAGTCTTTTTTCCAAACTCAAACCTGTTAAGGTAAACAGCGTGTTCCAATCCCAGTCGAGCCTGTCCCCCCAAAGAGACATTAGACCAACCGTTTAAGATAGAAAGGACTATTATGACAATTTTAAGGAAATGTAAAGGGCATTTTCTTGACAGTCCCAGGTTAGAATCCCGAGCAAACCTGGTGTTTTCTCCCTCCAAAGAGACATAAGACAAACCGTTTACATTAGAAAGGAATATTATGACAATTTTAAGGTACTTTAAAGGGGATTAAGGCCAATTTGAAAACTATTGAGCTTACCTGACAAATCAAACAAGCATTTCATAGTTTCTGAAATCAAAACTGTTAAGACAAACAGCGCCGACGTGGTGTGCCATGGCGCAATTTACCTGGAACCAATTCACCCCTCTTTCTTACCTCCACATCTACAAGAGCTCATGTCAAGATGAGCCTGGATCATTTCTTGACAGGTACCTGTAGTGGACAAGCAAGATGGACCCAGCCTCGGTAGCTCAGTTGGTTAGAACAGTCGGATGGTTTGCGAAAGTCCCGGGTTCGAATCACGATCGAGCCTGGTGTTTTCTTCTCCAAAATAGACATTAGACCAACTGTTTACGATAATAAAGACAATATGAATGACTGTTGAACTTACCTGCCAAATCTAACGAGCATTTCATAGTTTCTAAAATCAAAACTGTTAAGATAAACAGCGCCGACGTGGTGTGCCATGGCGCAATTTACCTGGAACCAATTCATCCCTCTTTCTTACCTCCACTTCTAGGAGAGCTCATGTCAAGATGAGCCTGGATCATTTCTTGACAGGTACAGGTAGAGGACAAGCAAGGTTGACCCGGGCTCGGTAGCTCAGTTGGTTAGAGCAGTCGCATGGTTTGCGAAAGTCCCGGGTTCGAATCCCGGTCGAGCCTGGTATTTTCTTCTCCAAAATAGACATTAGACCAACTGTTTACGATAATAAAGACAATATGAATGACTGTCTTACGAGCATTTCATAGTTTCTGAAATCAAAAATGTTAAGATAAACAGCGCCGACGTGGTGTGCCATGGCGCAATTTACCTGGAACCAATTCACCCCTCTTTCTTACCTCCACTTCTAGGAGAGCTCATGTCAAGATGAGCCTGGATCATTTCTTGACAGGTACAGGTAGAGGACAAGCAAGGTTGGACTGGGCTCGGTAGCTCAGTTGGTTAGAACTGTCGCATGGTTTGCGAAAGTCCCGGGTTCGAATCCCGATCGTGCCTGGTGTTTTCTTCCAAAATAGACATTAGACCAACTGTTTACGATAATAAAGACAATATGAATGACTGTTGAACTTACCTGACAAATCTAACGAGCATTTCATAGCTTCTAAATTCAAATTTGTTAAGATAAAAAGCGCCGACGTGGTGTGCCATGGCGCAATTTACCTGGAACCAATTCACCCCTCTTTCTTACCTCCACTTCTAGGAGAGCTCATGTCAAGATGAGCCTGGATCATAGCTACGGGTAGAGGACAAGCAAGGTTGACCCGGGCTCGGTAGCTCAGTTGGTTAGAACTGTCGCATGGTTTGCGAAAGTCCCGGGTTCGAATCCCGGTCGAGCCTGATGGTTTCTCCCCGACGATTTAAATTTAAATTTAAAAGGCACTAAATAAGCTAATCTGACTATTGAGCTGGGCCAGTACAACTGATTAAGGATAGAAACGACTATTTTAAGGCTCTTTAAGGGGGATTTAAGCCAATTCCTAGACTGTTAAGCTTGGCCCGTACATAAAAAAAAAGCGAAAAGAACGGCTTTAGAAACATGAAAAGAAGGGCTTTAGAGACTTGAAAAGAAGCAAAAAGAAAGGCTTTAGAGACATGATAAGAGGGCGTTAGAGATGAAAAGAAGCGAAAAGAAGGGCGTGAGAGACATGAAATGAAGCGAAAAGAAGGGCTTTAGAGACATGAAAAGAGGGCGTTAGAGATATAAAGAAGCGAAAAGAAGGGCGTGAGAGACATAAAAAGAAAGGAAAAGAAGGGCTTAAGAGACATGAAAAGAAGTGCTTAAGGGACAAAAAAGGAAGGAAAAGAAGGGCTTTAAAGACATGGAAAGGAAGGAAAAGAAGGGCTTAAGAGACATGAAAAGAGGGCGTTAGAGATATAAAGAAGCGAAAAGAAGGGCGTGAG